AACAAACACAAGTTGGAATATCTAAGCTCACTATTGTAACATCATTTGGTAATGCTTTAAAGTTATAATTGAAATTAATTCCTACACCAAATGCTATAAAAAATGCATAGTAAATTCTTAAAGCTTTCTTTCATATGTACGTCTCCTTTGTTCATCTATCCGTACAAGGTAATATGTGCCTGGGAACAAGACATCTATGGACCCGGATGGCTCGTAAGGGGCAGTGTGATAATTCTGTGTTCTTACATCCATAAGATCAGAGAACACTTGTGGGTCAACACATTGTCTCTTCTCCAACATTGCAACTGTATCATTCAAAGAGTTTATTAAGGTCTCCAATTTTGACCCTGCACTCATATCTTTGCATATGTTTATGGAATACATAGTAGATGCAAGACCAGATCCATATGAAAACAGAGCAAACTTCTTACCAATCAATTGATCTGGTGACTTGCTAACCAAATATGACACCAGGCCACCATACAATGATGGTGTATACATATTTCCAACATTCTTGGCAACATGTAATGAAGGTTTTGTCTTCTCATTGAATAATTTTTCACTGTATACCATGAATGCCTTCTCTACATCTCTATCGAAATATGTTTCTTCTCTTTTATGATTGTCAAATTGAGATAGTCCAGGAAATTGCTTTTCACGCTCAGCAGATGATGCATTCAGGAAATCATTAAAACATACTCTACCCAGAGACTTTTGTACTAATTTACAGTAAGGAGAGTGGAATAACATTCCATCCAAACTTAATAAACCTTTGAAATCAGGGTTTTCCTTCCTCATTTTCTTACAGAACAAATTGTAACAATTGTCTAGGGCACTTAGATAGCACTTGATAGACAATTTTCCATCAACATAGGGGAATTCAGAAGCTAAATCTGGCTTATAGAAGTCATAAGCATGTGTCATATATGATGCACGGACACCACAGTCAAAAACTAAGGGGGCATCGGGACCAATTAACATAGCTACAGCCCCAGCACCTCCTGTTGGTCTTGCTGGTCCTTTACCATACACCGCTATATCCCCAGCCACAACAATAGCTTTTCTACCATCCCAGGAAGATGACTCAACCCAATTAATTGAATTAAAAAGTGCTGCAGTGCCTCCATAACAAGCATTTGTAGAATCAATACCCTCAATATCAGTGGCTCCTTCCTTAGCAAATAATGTCATCAAAAAGGTCTTCACACTTTTGCTTTTATCAATAATTGTCTCAGTACCAACCTCAAGTCTTCCAATATCATGCAAATTAATGTTGTTCTTCTCAATAAGTCGATGTAGAGCTGTCATGCAGATGGAGTTTATGTCTTCTCTGTCAGAACAGAAGCCCATTTTACTCTGCCCGAGACCAATTGTATATTTGCCCGTGCCGACTTCATCAAATTTTTCTAAATCCACTTGATCCACGTATTGTGAAGGAAAATAAAGTTCCATGGCAAGAATGCCTACATTTTGGACTTTCGCCGACATTATTTTAAAGGGATTTTATTTTACGGTTATAGATACACGATAAATTTAGGAGCACTTTACGACGCACTGACGTCTACACTTTGCGCCGATCTATACAGACTGGTGACCCCACCGTCTCGCCCGCTGCTCGTCTGCTGTCGACGTCAGACCTACACGTTACCGAAGTGAACGAGTCATACCATTGACCTACAACGGTACTATTTAACCAACTTTCTTTTACTCTTACGCAAATGACCGATAACAAATTATAATTATAAAGAAATACAATTTATAAATGTAAGGCTGGCAGATGACACTGTCCTCGTTAATGAACTTGATTTTTACTTTCACTTTGATTTACAAATGTTCAAGTGCTATAAGAAATTATTACAAAATATTTTAATGGTATTGCAATTTTCCTTCCATGTCAAATTCCTATGCTCCGCTCATGTGACGTGACGTGATCAGTTTTTAGGTTATTTGCTACGTCAAAACGTCAAACAGCAAACATGATATCACGTTCTTTATCAGCTTGGAGTTTAGAGCTTGGAAGTAGATGCTGGAGTATGTAATAAAATATGATGGTAAATTAGACAATATTATACAATGCATTATTTATCGATGAGACTCATAAAACGTTAATACAAATTTTATTTCAATGGCTCATGCGTCATTTTCTTATCATTAAAGAAATGAATCATTGTTTATTATATTTTCGAAATAATTATTCTATTTTATTGTTTGTAAATAAAACATGTAAATATAATATTATATCATAAAATTCTTATTTAATAACGATACTGTTTCTTTTATCTTTTCACATTTTTACATCGGAATTCGATCTATTCATAGCAAAGTTAACTAGGTATGTTTTGTAGGCACTTAAAATTCTCATGTCGTGCCACTTTCCCTTCGTTAACGGTCATCAATGAACAAAACTCGTCCCAATTGTCGCGAAAAGCTGTTACGATGAGCTAAATAAATTACTGTCTCATAATCTTATCAAAACTTTTAAATATCTGCTCATGCTTAATTTCTTATCATTGTATTGAATCCTAAATGATTTAATATAAAAAACAGAAAACTTCCATAGCATCACACTGACTCCTCATAACACAAATCGCGGAAATATGTACTAGCACTTTTCACCCTTTTTGATATGTTGTTTTAACAAACGACAGCGCTATCACGCTAACTCTAAAATATACAACTTCTTTCCTACATAAAGGACGATTTTCACCAATAATAATATTATGTTGGAACATAACGACAGATCCCTTTGTCTAGTATGTGTTTCTAGCCTTTGCCTTTTTACATCATCATTAAAAACAAACGTAGTCATAAAAATGGTATCATTAAATTTTTTAAAATCAACCAATAGCAGTAAAATATTGCGGGCAATTAGCGATACTCCACACGCGATCCTCACGGTCTACAAGTCATGGAATAAAATCTCAAGTACACGATAAAGTTGCTTCTTTTACTTCCTGTATCTGAAGGTAAGGTTAAAAAAAGTTCAACGATTATGACAAGGTGGCTGATCTTTTTATTTAATTTAAGGTACGAGGTAAACTGACATTAATTAACATTTTATTTATTAATAGTTTGTGTGAAATTAAAAAATATAATTGATCGGTACAATCAAGAATAATCAAAAGTAAGTAATAGGAAATAAGTAACTTTATTTCAGTTCCAATGTCTAAACAGATCTCAAAACATTCAACTCAAGTTCAATTTGTACTGGACACAAATAAATGTTTTATGAAGAAAAAAATCCCGATTTCGACCTTAAAATTCGGTAATTACGTATTAAACATAACTCCAAAATTAATTTAAGTTAATTAAAAATAACCTTTTTTATAAACAAAAAATTGGTAGTTATACAAAAAATAGTCTGAATTTATTAAGCATCATTGTAATTTAAACAGTAAGGACTTTTGGCCTAAGGGGTATAATACACGGGTACAAGAATTATGTAAAATTGTAAAAAAAATTACAAAATGGAGGTTTCAAAGAATACCTAGGATATCTAGGCCTACCTACCGCACACCTCCGCCCCTAGGTTTAGACTCCATACCAAAAATAATATTTAAAAGCCGTTTTATTTTATTTCTCAACCTTTATTTAAAATTCCACTAATACAATTAACGTAACCACAATGCTGTCAAATAAAAAAAAACTAACGAGAAGGCCATTTCTCACTATATTTTAACTAAGCATGAAAGTAACTTTGTTACAAATATCAATTTTGTTTCAAATGGAAAAAAAAAACTTATGTAACAAACATCGAAAAAATATCGTCACGATTGGAGGTTCTATAAAAAAACTCTACAACATCAACGAATATTGTTGTGATCTAGAATATATTAACAGTTGAGTCGAGTTGTAAGATACTTAATTAAACACAAAACGTGTGTTGCAATTTCTTTCTGTCTATAGATAAACATTTACCATCGTATTTTTCATACTCTTCACTGGAAATTAGGAGAATATTAAATAGATAAATCTTATCGACATTAAAATAAGTAAAAATTTTCACTTTCATTGCATTAACCCTTATTGTGGCAAGATTTCTTTTTTTAAGAAAAGGCAAAAACTAAGTTAAAAATTATTTTATAGTGATATTTATTTTTTTATAAAGTTGTAAGTATGGCATACTATACGAAATGAACATAAGGGTTAAATTAATACGATTTTATTATTAGACTACCTGTCGTTAGCACTCCGCGGAATTAAAAACATAATTGGTAGTCTTCTTCCAGACTATGTTCTATATGTATATGCCAAATTTCATCAAGATCCATTGAACCGTTCCGGAGATACCTTCAAACATCCATCCATCTAAACATACGCATTTATAATATTAGTAATATATATATTTTAAATTTGTGCTTTGACTATTACGATGTCATAACCGTAAAGAGGAATTTAATCACGTATCAATTATTTCAATGTATTTTTAATATATCTTATTGCTCGTTATTCTTCGTCCTCGTTAAAAACTATTAAGAGACACTTTAACCTAATCATCAAATTGTTAATTATGTCGTTTAGTTATTTTTGGACAGTATAGTTTAAGCAAATTAAAATTAATCTAAATATACTAATTGGTAGAGAAAATATCTTATGGGTTGAAATACTATCGGATACTAGTTGTCGCCCGCGACTCCGTCCGCGCAGTATTAAAAAATAAACTTAATAAGTAGCCTATGTATTCTTTCAGATTGTGTTCTACATCTATGCCACATTTCAGTAAGATCCCTTAAGCCGTTCCGTTGTTTGAAGATTGAAGGTATCTTCAAAGAAACATCCATCCATCAATCCATCTAAACATTCGCATTATTAATATTAGTAAGAAGTAAGATTAGTAAGATATGAATTTTCATTAAAAATAATCAAACTAGGAGTCAAGGCTCGTCAAATATTAGCACGTAGGTACTCACACCATGTTACATGTTTACATTGAAAATCAAATATGGCGAAGGCCGACAAAATTATATTCACGAGAACAATGAATAAAACAAAAAAAAATGTGATATTGTTTTCATTGGAAAAATATTTATTACATAACCACGTAAAATTAATTAGCAAATCGCTTAAAATACTAAAATTGTAAAATATCACCAGATCGGAATTAAACAACACAATGGTTTTTATTTGCACGTATTCTCCTTCCGTGGGATACACATTTTGTGAACTTGTAGAAACGGACACCTGCGAAAAGAAAAAATAAAAAATACCTATAAATAAGTTCACTTTACCTCTAAATTTTTACTATTCTATTATTGTTGTGTTATAGTTAAGCAATGTTAGTAAGAAAATCCGAAACTGTGCCGGTGGACCGGCGCAACACTAGCCTTACTAAAATATTGACGTTTGTGTCCCCTCACTAATCATTTTGACACTTGACTTTGTAACGAAAGCGCGCCATTCGCACCAAAGGATTCTAACTAATAATATCTAAAAGTAATATGTACTAATCACTTTATAGTTTATCTTTAAAGTTAGTTAAGTCTAGCGGTTGCCCGCGACTTCGTTTAATAGAATTGAAAAAATAGCCTAAGCTACTCCGGCACACACAAGCTACTTTCCAGTAAAAGTTTCGTCAAAATCGGCTTAGCCGTTTCGGAGATCATTCGGAACAATCGCGGATTTGTGGACAGACACACAAAAATTTTAATAATTGGTTGTTCGATATTAGTAACTCGAATACATCATGTGTAAGAAACATGGATTTTTTATATACATATAACATACAGACTCTCTTCTTTTTTTAATATTATAACTTGATGTTAAGAGCTTTATAGATAGATGCCTTTAAAATTAGAATGCTATTCTTAGGCAGTTTAGTTAATCGTCTGTTACTAACCTGTGGGATTTATTCGGGTTTCGAAAACATCTTCTGCGCCAAACACTCTAGATTCTTCTTCCTTGTATAGATCCTGAAAAACCAGTGCGATATAATTTAGCTTATAATTTCAAAATGAAACTTAACACTTTTGTAAAAGTTGATCAAGTAAGATGTTTGAGTCGTTTGATTGTTTAAAAGACAATATTTGTTATGATGACTAACCTTTACTTTATAAGTTTGTTTGGGTATCTTCATATGGTGGGCCCTAACACTAAGTGCATATGGAGCACCGTCCTCTCGCAAGTTCACGAATGCTATAGCGTAAGATCCGTCAAATAGTTCTCGAGTCCAAATCTAAAAGGAAAGCTTGTATTTTTTATTATTTATTTATTATTAGGATTACAGGAATTATTTTTATGTCCGGTAATAATTGCGCATAATGGATTCGTCGTTTTTCATTTCCTATAATAGATTTTTAATGAGATGAAGCCATTCAAACCTAATTAATCGATGCGCAATCATAGAACATAGAAAAACCTACTTTTAATACTTCTTTTTTATTGTTTTATAAGTTTTCAATAGAATAAATATTACAATGGATAATTATGATAAAAAAAGTCAATAAATCAACTAACATTTATTCTAGATTTCTTAGTTCTTACTTGTATACTATAAATGCGAATTTGGATGGATTGATGGATGTTTGTTACGAGGTATCTCACGAACGGCGGCATGGATCTCGCTAAAATTTGATAGTTTGGAAGAACACATAGGCTACTAATTGAGTTTTTCCTTCGGCTAAAAATCACCTCGCAATCGGATAAATTCTTGAGATTATCACCTCGCAATTGGATCCGGTCCATACTCGAAGTCCTTGCTTCCCGAGAGGGTCCTGATCGACCTCGATGATATCCTTGTTGAGGAGTATCTCCTTGAACTCCGGGCGAATGGTGGCTAGGTCTACGCTCATAAGGAGTGGCGCAGCGAGCACCGACCACACAGCCATCTGTACCCGAGCTTGATCCAATGATAAACCAAAGTTACCAATTATCAACTGCAAACAGAAAGGAATTATATTTTATAATGCTTCTTATTTAAAATATATGCATTTCCGTCCTCCTCCTAGTTTACAAGTGGAACAGATATATAGCAGCTGTATATTTTTAAAGGTGTGTACTTGATAATAATTAGGAATCTCTGAAGTCTTACCATATCCGGGTCATTCCAATGTCCAGGTCCCGCGTGCTTCACCAGCTCATCCTGATTGTTTGCGAACCAACTCATAATGCTCGTCACAGATGTCCAGGAGTCATCGATATCCCCCCAGTTGCGCCATAAGTTACAATGTCTCTCAATCGAATCGTAATTTGGCTACAATAAAAATTTAATTTCACACTGGATTATTTATAAGTATACGTAAGTAATCTTCTATAATTTGTTTTTCAAATTTTTGCTTCATCATTTTACCTAAGTCTATTTTATTTGTTTCGGTTTTGACTAAATTCATGAAACATTTTAAATATTTATAGTTTTTTGCAGTACTTTTTTTTACACAGTTTCATACATTCTTATGTTTATATAACAGCGGGATAAACACAGAGAAGCAGTGGAGGGCTTGACATCATCGAACTATGACCTTATTTATCATGTATATTTCAAATCTTTCTAATAAATTTTGCATCGTTCTAAACTAACAAAAAATTCCAAGCAGCTATTGTGAATTTCCTTTGTTTTTGTTAATACTTACTTTATCCTGGTACGCCGGCCAACTGCATGAATACAACATAGGACGCCCAGTCTCATTCAGTAATTTGCCGAAAGCGGGATAACCTAAAAAGTTATTTTTCAGAGGAGTCAAATAAGCCACTAGAACACCGATGTAATCAAAGACGCCCATAGACATCCGAAATGAATTTGTTGTTTTGTATCAAAATAATACTCGTGTGTAGGAGAAAGGGCTCGTCTTAAACCTCATGATTTAACACCAGAAGTGAGGTAAGGGTCAAAAAGATCTTAATAATATCACGTGATTAATGGAGGACCCCTACCTGTATCCATTTTAGTAGAATCAACATAGCATCCGTCCAGTTTAATATAATCCACATCCCATTCTGCAAAGGTTTTTACATCAATTTCCTCATAGCCGAGCACTCCTGGGTATCCCGCACACGTCATTGTGCCGTAGTCCTGGTATATCCCGAACTTTAAACCTCGCTCATGGACCTATAATTTTCAACAAGGTCATTTATGCATTAACTTAATTAAGGAAAAAATAACATTAATTATGACTATTGTTATATAAATTTATTATCAAAGTAGCTAAATTTGTAAAAATAAGTAAGAAGTGTTATTTTCAGCTAATATTGAAATAAATATTTCCAAGCGCCTGCCAATTTTAAATACTCACGTAACCCGCAAGCGCTTTGATGCCGCTCGGAAAACGATGTCGGTCGGCCACCATACGGTTATTAGCATCGCGTTCTCTCTCCAGCCAGCAATCGTCAATGGCTATGTAGTTATAGCCAGCAGCCAGATACCCTTCTTTTACCATAATATCAGCAGTACGTTTTATGAGGGCTTCGCTGTAATTTTATAAGACTTTGTTATTAAAGACTACATTTTTAACAGACTTCAAAAAGCAGGTTTTTATATTTTCGTCTTTACGAATGAAAATGTCTTTGTTTTATAAATTTAATTTTACTTTCTATCATTTGGCTTTATTATTTTCATAGAAATATTTTTGTATATATCTATCTAAAAGTATTTTAAAATAGTATGGATTTGAACAGCAATTTTTTTCAACATGATCCTTCGCCAAACTGCCAATAGATTTATCTTTTCACGGTTAGAAAAAAAACAAACGTCACTTTAGATTACCTTATACATTCTTGAGGGTATGCCTTGCAGTCTGTGATACACCTAAATCTTTCCCAAGTAAGCCAGCCCATGGGTGGCGTCAGCGCCAACCCGTTGTCAAGAGATAGACATGAAGGTAATAACCACAGAAATATATAGCATAATACCTTTAAAACACATAATATAAGCTTGTTAATTTTCATTTACCGTATCGTTAAGTAGTATAAATAAAGGAATGCATGAAACTACAACAATATAAATTATTTTATAATTTTTATTTATTTTATAAAAAATGTTAGTATTCGTGACATTTTATCACTAAATGGATTTTATTATAACTATTATATAGTCACGAATATTGTAAAGACATGAGAAACCGTTGGTTCATGATTTTTAAATGAAATATTTTCATGTCATGTTCAAAAAACATTTGGAATAGACAGAGATAGCACTAGTAAGTATCATTGCTTTCTGTCATCCTACATGAGACGGCGGAAATGCCTATTCGAATACAAACTAGGGCATACAGAGATTTGCGAGTTTAAAAGTAACAAAATAATACGACTTTTATTACAGACTAGATTATAAGACAACTGAAAACTGTATTAATTAGTAATTACTTACTTCTATTGTTGTTTTGGACATTATTATAATTAAGCTATCACTTATAGCTAACGTTTTCAAAAGCAACGTTAAGTATGCAGTGTTAACATTCTCCCGAGGGGTTTATATTGATACACTGCAAAGTGGAGTGCTGATAAGCTCATTGTGGCATTGTAACTGCACAGCGGGCAGTTATCTAGCTTTAAGGATGGTCTTTCACTAACGTTTAGTGTAACAGTTAGTACAAAAATATAAGAAAAAACTATGAGTACGTATTAAGGAGTAAGATGTGTGTAAGTGGATTTGACGAAGGAAGGGACGCATAGGAATGGGAAGTATCCTCTTTCTAAGCGTTCCTCCGTCGTTCAAAGGTAGACAACATATCTGCAATTATGGATGTCGATTGGCAGCGATCGCTTCGCTATTTCAGCGATTTTAGATGACCTTTTTCATAATTCTTTGCTCCCTTATTTTTTACATAACTAATTTAAAGATAGATATAAAATAGATAGAAAGTATAGTAAGAGAAAATTCAATAACATTATGCATTTTATAGTTTAATTTGGATTCTATAAGACTTTATGCTATTTTAGTTTATTATTCACTTTAATGGAAACGCACCTTAACATACATTTTATCAGCACAAATAAACATTGTTAAAATAGTTAAAAATAAAGTTTTAGATACCGTAAATTCGTATTAGATAATATTAAAACTCTTATCTTTTACAAAATAGAATGTAAATGTTATTTTTATTTTATGTATTAACGTCACTAATTTACATAATGCATATAAATAAAAAATATATATTGAGAATAAGTTGTTACTTTTAGTTTTTAAATCTGTTAATATTCTGACATGATGAAAGAACTGTAAAATAAAACATATTGGTATCATTAAAATTATTAATATCTTTTTGTTCACAAATCTGTCTTCCCCAGTTTTAAAACTATGGTTCATTAGTAACCAGTGGTGATAAATGAACGCCATGATAATAGTGATTTGTTTAATTTAATTCAACCATTGATAAAGATAGGATTCACAAAATATAAGCTTTGTAAACAAAGAAACATCATTCACTACAATAATCGGCCATTACCAGAACTACCTAGTTACCTCGAAGCTTTCGTATATATTATGAAATTTCGAGATAAAGTGGATTCAGTTTATGTATATGCATGAGTAACTAGAATAAAAGGTATATACGAGTATCTGAAAAAATAAGATGTTTAGTTAATTAAATTATTCAAACTTTCGTAAGACATTATATTAAACTGATATAAAACGGCTTAACACTGCACCGACTAGTTTCGAGCCCATCGGGGGCCCTTCATCAGGATGAGTGGTACTGGTATTATCGTTGGTACACTGGCGGACGGGCCGCGTCCGCGAAATAATCCGCGTCCGAAAGAATAAATCCGATGGGGTCGAAACTAGTCGGTGCCGCCACCGGACGAATATACGTGAGTGTTCAGCCGTTTTTATATCAGTTTAAGATGTTTAGTGTTAAATGTTTTAAACTGTAGGTTTTGGATTGGAATTATGGACAGAGTCCAACATAATATGGAGTAACTTCCTAAAGAGATTTAGGTATAAATATATAATATGTACCATAATCACTTAAAGAATAAGAATTAGGCTCTACTTTATAGTTAGTCCAAAACAATTTAAAAGTCGTATAATAATTTTCTATACCCATTTATAAAATGTTCGGTATGATACCACGATGTCAATTGACCGCTATATAAGCAAGGAAAGTGACTTAATGCCTTGTCAAGTAAGCAAACGGAATTCTAAGCAGAGCATGGGATAAACGCTTTCTTTGCGTTTCCACACTTCCGTCGTACACGTTAAATATACGGAACTCTGTGCTCTATACGACAGTTAATCTATGGTTTTTACATATTGTACTGATAAAGAATATGGTGTCATACAATGCATGCACATTTCATTTGTAAACGATCGAGAATAGTTTTATTTTTATATCATAAGGTGGCAAACGAGCGAGCGGCCACCTGAAGTCGCTAAAATAGCGAAGTGACCGTTGCCCATAGACATACGCATAGTTAAAGAAAATCTTGTTAAGATTATTTAAATACTATTACTAGCATTGCAACATAAAGTGCTACCTGAACTTTTCCTTATCAGTAATCAAATCCGAAATAAAACTGCTAAAAATATAAGGTCAATGTACATCTATGTATGTATTTAGCTCATCCCTGAGCCCCCATAGCGTGAGGATGTCATCATTGAATACCACAGGCAGGTGACAAAATCCATTCAATTAGCATAGATTTCAATTTCAATTGTGTTTTAGGAACTTTCAGTTTACTGAAGCATGTCGTAAGCATTTCATTTAACTAGTATATAATAGAGTACATATGTATACGTGCAAAACAATTTACACTAATTAATGTAATACGTTTATTTGTTACTACGCATATGGACATCCGCAACGCCAGAGGAACCGCGGATTCTCAGAACCGGTCTTTATTGCACTAGTGGTTTTCGTATCCGGAGTTGCAGGTATTGCATATTTTTAGATGAAGATTTTTTGTCGTACAGTTTTTTAATAATTATAAGATTTTTAGAATCTAAACTGATTGTAAAAATAATTGTTCTAAAATACTATAGTGAGGTGACTTACTTATATTATAAATGCGGAAGTTAAGATGGATGGATGGATCGATAGATGTTTGAAGGTATCTCGAGAACGGCTATATTGATATCGCATAGATGTATAACATAGCCAGGAAGAACACATAGGCTATTTATTATTATTTTATTTAATTGCGCGCGGACGGAGTCGCGGGTGGCAGCTAGTTAGTTATATTTATCAAAATGTAGACTTACCTTTAGATTGATTTATATCAGCACATGTCAAAATTATATTGTAGCGTATTTCATACTTCCTCTGTTAATACTGCCCACGACTTAGTTGAATGGAAATACTGATGTCGGCAACTTGATTGAAACTATTGTAATTTAAATATTTAGTATTAATATGTCACAATGATGAAAGACATTTTGACTTTCAAATTAACGGCGCCAAAGCTACAACAATGCGATAAAAGTGTTGTGGGAGTAACGTACGATCAACCCGATGGCGGGTTCGAATCCGGTCAGTACATGCACATGATGTAAATAGAAGCCGTATAATAAACTCTTTCATCTGAGTTTTTTTAAAGAATATTCTGGTAAATCCCAATAAAATATGATGTTTATTCATATAAAAATATTATTTTTAAAAGATATGCAACAATTATGTTCATAGAAGTTAAAATAAGCTAATCTTAGTTCTTATTTCGTACTTATCTTACTAATATTATAAATGCCAATGTTTGGACGGATGGATGAATGAATGTTTGAAGGTATCTCCAGAACGGCTCAAGGGATATTAATGAAATTTATCTGGAAGAACACATAGACTACTAAGTTTTTTTTTTAATTCTGCGCGGAAGGAGTCGCGGCGGCCGCCAGTTATGTCATAAAGTACATATTTTTTATTCAAAAGCGTGAAAGCAGGTGTTTTTATCCGGTAATCTGAAGCAGATGTAATATTATCAACCAAATATCACCTTCACAGTTACCATACAAAACCTGTCCAGGCAACCTGAATTTATCGTTCGCGCATATTTCGCTAGGACTGCATCAGTATAAACAATGCCGATGAGTCAATTCTTGCAACATATTTTAAAATTTTATTTGTAAATCGCTATATTATCGTTACAAAAAGTTTGGCTTATCCAAATATTCTTCAAATGTAGTATAAGTGGCCTTTTTCCTTTTTTGTTGATTACAGAACAAAGTAATAAAAAGTTTGATTGGTACGAGACGGAACAAAACAGGAGACCCTGGTGTTTGCTTATGTCGGAAGTCAAGGCCAAGGCCAACAGTACTTTGGGTCAATTTGCTTGTGTTAAAAAAAGTTAAAATTAAAATAAATAATTTCATGACACTTTTCCTTATTCCGAAAACAATGGTACAGAAATTGAATTTCGGAAAAATACATTAAGTAATTCGAATTCTCGGACTTCATATGGTATAATCCAGCTATTTGATAGCCTACACAATTATTATTTGCGTAGGCTTTCGTAGCCTACCATAACAACATAATGACGGAAACGCTGCCTAAGGCGCTGGAAATATGGGGGCGCGCACACGGCGCCAAATAGCCAAATGTTTATAATATACTTGACATAAATCTTTATTCTTGCATAATTCTGTCGTAATATAAATTAGTTAGTCATATTTAAAGTATTTTTCGAATCTTTCTATTAATTTTGAGATAAACGGTCCTACAGCTACAGTAAGTAATAGTGTGGCCAAGAATATAAAACCCTCGCTATATTGCGGTAAAATATGGAAGTAATTCCTTTGCACTCATTATTAAGTCATGAAATAATGAAGATTGAATCTGCCATATTCCAGGCCAGGATTTTTATACTCTTGATTAGCCCTTACTTTCGTTCAATTAGAATAATTTAATTAGGTCTTAATTTTATTAGCATTATTAACCATGTCCATACACTATATTTTTGTTAAACAAATTAAGAAATCTTTTCTCAATATTTTAACTTTATAAATATGTACTTTCAATCGCCAATTGCTTTCCTCTTTTTACATTACAATAAGAAATTATAAATATTATTATGATTATATGTAATTAGCCGCTATATCTCATAATTTTCAAAAGCAAATAAAATCAAAAAGAGAAAGATAATATACTATTCCTAAAAAGATTAAGATCATCAAATAACTAAACTATTTCACAACTTTTTGTAAATATTGTCAGACTATATTAAGTAAAGTCAATGCATAAAAGCAACAGTTGCCTTTGGTTCTGCGCTTCGGTTATTTGTGAAACGGAACGTAGCCGCGCCAAACGTAAACAAAGAAAATCATAAGCGTGACGTTAATTTGAAAATTTACATAAAAAACAAGAGAAGTACTAAATGAGAGTTGTGTTAGTTTTAATCATTAATGCGTTACCTTAAACAGTGATAATAAGAACTTTCGTATTCTAAAAATAACTGTGATATTGCCAACGGACGTCCTACAGGAAATGGGGACCGACAATTCGCACACCCGGTGATTTCTAATGTAGTTCGC